TCGCATTTAAATATAAAAGTATTTAATGTATTACTGTTTCCGTCAAAGGGCTTAATATTTTGTACTTTTGACTTAAAAATATTCCAATTTACAGTTCGCATATTTTCATTTTCTGAAGCACTTGTTCTCGCATTCATTTTATTTATTTCTGTATTAAGTTTTACTGTTAAATTTGATAGTCTGTCCGCTAACTCGTCTACACTCATTAACGTGCTAGTTTTTCATTTACGATCTATGAGCGTAAATTTTATTTTATTTTTATATTTATTTTTTATTATTTTTACTTAATAAAAATGTAATACTAGGTAACTTTTTCTTTGTTACTTTACTTCTAAGAATTTTTTACTTTTTGGTTTTTGTTTTTCTTAATCTAATGTCTTCGATAGACTGCTCCTATAACTATCCCTACTGATTTCCTTAAACAGAGGTATACCAAAAGGGGCAAAAAGGAAGGCACTTACTTCTTTTTGAAGTCTTTCCTGTCCTTTTCCTGGACTCCGCTCTCTGCTGTCTTCGTCGGGGTGGTTTGCGACAACTTTCTTTGCTCGTTCAGGTTTAGACAGCTAATCCGGATCGATTGCACTATCCTGTCTTCACTTCACAAAGTTTTTTTTGTCGAATTTCGCGTTTAAGGGTTGAAACCGCACTTCCCGATTTACCACTGCATGTGACACTCGAAAGGGAATACACGAAATCCTACCGACTGCGCCAGTTTTGAGGTCTGAATTAACAGAGTTGTTTTTTAAAAAACGATTTTATTGTTACAAACGTTCTCGACAAAGTACAGAGAGTGAAAAGTCTGCTTTGAACCGTGCAGTTCGCTTTTATATGTGACATAATGTAAAATAGGCATTCAGTATTTAATTACAATGAAATAACACTTATTTATACATATAACTAGCGTTAGCTATATTTTCTGTGCTAACGGTTGTTTTGGAATAAAGTATCTATTTTTTACTTTACTGCATAACTAAAAAAACAAGTTTTAAATTTAAATCAACTTTATTAAAGTAAATATAAAATTTATACACTTTCTGATATAATATTATTTACAATAACAAGTCACTAAACACAAAAAGTTATAAGTTATATGGAAATATATTTTTTCCAATCTAAATTCTTAAAATATCTGTTTTGTTTTTTATATTGGGGCAAATTTCTTAAAAGGGCGTTGTTTTAAATAACTACAAGTTTATTATAATACAATATCTAATAACAATTAACTTATTATATTGTCCCCACCATAAAAAGCTGGTTTTATTATATATCTAGCCTCATATCTTCTCTATATAATATTTAATAATAATAATAAAAAACATAAAAATTAAGAGACTTACAAATTTAATCACTTATTATTTAAAATTATCCTTTCTAAAATTAATTTTCTATAAGGTTTTTGCAGTCTTAAAATTTCTTTCTCTAAAATTTTAAAATATTTTTTCTACAAAAAAAATGAAGAGAGTTACATTTATACTGTATTGTTTTACTGATAGATTCCAATTTATAATCAAATAAAAAATAAACTTTGAAATGGGTTATAGTGTAATCAAAAGTTATTTGATAGTGATAGATAATATTTTAAGAAATATTTAAAAAAATGTCTTATTTTTAGCTTCTAAAAAACTTAAATTCTAGATTTATCGTATAAATAATACTGATGTTTTCAGATAGAAAGTTATTGTTAATGTGAAAAGAAATGTTACAGGGTGCAAAAGTAGTTGAAAGGTTGGTTAGATCAACTATTTTACTGTTAAATAAAAGCAACTAATATTAATAATATTTTAAGATAAGCCAAGTCTTGCATAGTATATTTTAGTTAGGTAAGTTTGTGAACTCTGACAAAGAATAAAGAGTATCTACAATATATTCGGTAATCTTAACTTTTGATATCGTGTTTGTTATATTTTCGTGTGTTTTATAGGGTTCCTCGTTCATGAGTGAAGATACAAAGTTGCGGTTACACATTACTATGCTACTTCTTTCTAAGCTACTGCTTTCTTCAATAATTAAGATGTTACACCCACATTTGTCCTAGCCAGATATCTCAGTTCATGATGAATACAGGGCGAATTTGAAATTATTGTTTCGACTCCCCTTGTATGTTGGTTGTCAAGATAGTCACATGAGTCCCTGAGTTTTTCACGTAGAATTTAGTGGCGTAACTATATAGTTTTTTGGTGGGAGCTGTTATTCTTGAAATATGACCCAAAATTATGTTTTTTTTTTAATAAGACGTCCTGTATGTTATTATTTTAATTTATTTTCCTTATTATGACCTTTCTAAAATATATCATATACTTATAAAAATAAAAAAAAAAATGGTGTTATTTAACTTTTTAACATTGGCGGCTGGTTTAAGGGTTTAAACCAGCTGCCAATTTATTTATTTATGTCATTTATGTATATTATATTTTTAGAAAGATCATATCAAGGTAAATGAAACAGAAAAATAATGTACAAGATGTCCCATTAAAAAAACATAAGTTTCAGTCGAAAACTATAGCTTTCATCGAAAAATCTAGTAGTGTGGTAGGGTCACTGGATTCTACGTGAAAAACTGTACGGGACTCAATTTTCATCTTTTCGATAGGTTATAAGATAAACAAGATACGAAGGGACTAAAAAATTAAACTTTTTCAAATTCGCCCTGTATTTCAGAAAAGGCAAATCTGTGTGGTAGCTTCTTTAGATTTATAAAAAAAGTAGTATAGTTATGTAGAAACCGCTTACTATCTGTACTCATCACGAGATACCCCAGAAAACATACGAAAATGGGACACCCTGTACAGTGATTGAAATTAGAAAATGTTTCTTTCTCAAAAAAAAAATATTTATATTTTCTATACCGGGTGCGTCCCCTATAAGTTTTTTATTTTTTCAGATCACAAAACGAGATTTGGTATGTTAAGAAAAGTCGTACCTATTTTAAATTTCAATCTGGAGTGCCACGGCTGCGTTAAAAACACTAATTTTTAACCAAGGAGCCTTGGAAAAATAGATTTGACCTTCTAATGTTGTTTGTGTGTCTTCTCCTGGCCGGTTAAAACGTGTTCAAAAGGTATTTTTAATCATATCTCAATTTTTTTGGAATGAGGGTGACTCATTAGCATATTTGGAAAAAGCATTTTTTACGAATAATTTGGTACCACACACTTGATATTTCGAGGCAAATTGTCGTTATGAACCGCATGTTACAATTTAAATTAGCCATATGCGAAAATGTCAAAAGTTGACATATGATATGTCATTCTGGTCAGAGTGTAATTTTCTATCGAATAAAGTAAAAAATACCGAGGGTATCATTTAAAAATCAAAAGTTGTAATTGCATAACCTCTAACCTTATTCAACGAAACCTCATCTTATCAAAATGTTTATTTTTTGAAATAAACATTTTGAAAAGATTGTGAGATTTTGAGTTCCCTACCCCTCGTTAGAGATTGTGCAATTGAGATGTACTAACACTGGGTTGGAGAACGTTTAGTCAAAAGTTGTAGTCATTTCCGGGGAAACAGGAAGTCACCAAAACAATTGAATCTACATCATTCAATCCTAATTTATGTCATATACTAATATACCAAATCTCGTTTGTATATCTGAAAAAATAAAAAAAGTTTTATGGGTGAGCCACTTTTGAGACGCACCCGGTATAGTAACCACAAAATAAAGTTTTTTCTTTTTTTTTTGTTGATTTTGGAAAAAAAATTCATCATATTTTCACACTATTTAAACCACGTCTAGCTAGAAAATTAATGAATTCCTTTTTAAAATCGTTATTGTCGAAATAAAATGTCTGTTTCGTTTGGCAATTTAAAGGGCCCGAAGATTTATGTAATCGCTGTTACATTACCTACAACACGAGCATCTGCGTAACCGATAATGCCACGACAGGTAGGTAACCTGAAATGTAAGTTCATTTACATAGTGACCCAGTTATCTTTCTCGTTTCTTTTCGTATAGTACGTTTTTTCCTTTATTAAGTCATTCTCAATATTTATCTCGATCGGGTTACCGTTTCTTAACACATAATCGCTTTTTGAATTAAACGAAACACTTTTGCCGCTAATTGGCCAAACATAAATCACGTCGCAGAATGAATATGGATCGGTGCAAACCAAGTAAATTAAACATCAAATCAATTTAGGTTTGAATTAGATCTTCAACACCGTTATGTATTTTTTATTGATATAAAATGTAATTGTACTGACATATATCCAGAGTATACAGAGTGTCCCATTTTCATATACATACATAGAGTAGTAACTGAAAGGTGTTTATCCAAGGTCTATTGCCAAAAGTATTATAGTTTTGTGATGGTAATATTTAGGGTCCTGATAAACCAAAAATTGGTCATTGGGTGGGTTGGGTTCACTTTTGCTTTATAGTCACAGTCGATAAAACAAAATACTATGCAAGATAGTTGAGAAAAATTATCTATTTCATACCAATTAAACTTTTAGTTACGTAATCGAGGGCGCGATTCTTAAATTCATTGTTGCCAACCATGGACATATTCGGGGCCAGGCTGACTAACTGGAATTTAAATTTCCCGCTGGGGATTCAGGTGGTAGCTCTGCTGTAAAAAATGTCAAGTTGCCATATTTATTTATTTATTTCCTAACATTGTCATTCGTTTTGACACTTAAGTTTTGTATAACGAGTTTTTGATTTAAATAATTAGTGTTCTGATATTTTAAGCTTGAAAATGTTTACTCTCAGACCTTGCAGTCGAACATTGTTTCTTTTAGAACCTCTTTTAGTGCGAAATGTACAAGATAGCTTAATAGCCGTAAAAAACTCATCGCAACTTTATTAGAATATTTTGAACGGGAAAGCGGTAGTAATGGCCCTTTCTGTCCCTTAAGTGCTGTTAAGAAGGTGAGTTTTGTTGATGTAAATAATACCTGTTTATATATTTATAATTAATTTATTTTTGTTGTCTAAAATATTTTGATTAAAAGAAAATATGTAAAAGTAGGCAACGCTGTGCCGGTCAAGCTTAATCACGTGACTAAAATTTTATTTGGTATGAACTATATATTTATTAATGTACATTGTACATCTTATAATTATTTATGTGGCAGTGTAATAAATAGAAGAAATGAAGGAAAATACTAAAATTAGACAAATTAGTTTTGTTTAAAGCGAATGAAGAATTGGGGTTGATTATAAATTGGAGTGTTCGGCGGACACTTAATTGACGAGAAAATAATACAAAAAACATTTACAATTTGTACAGAGCGTTTAGGTAGATAACTTCTCGGTTAAGTTCCGTTGAGATAGTTTTTAGGCTTTATCATCATGACGGATTTCTTCAAGGTGTAGTCCCAGCCTCTCCAGCGGAACCATACAATCCCTGCAATATAAATATTTATATAAATGGTGAAGCAATAATAATAAAATATATCTAACAATATCTCTACTTCATAATTCAATAAACAAATGTGCTGCATATAGGTATAATGTGTCATAAATAAGAATTTTGGGGAAATTTGTCTTCAGTGTTGATCTGCTTTGAGGTCATAATATTTCATTTGAGAAAGTTTTGTGTCCTTTCCAATTTTGCAAAAACATGAATTAACGCAGCAGTGTTAGTATAAAAAATCTATTTTATTTGGTAGATTCTCTTACAGTGCAATTGGGGAAATACCCATAGGCATTTTTAACGTTTTATTCTGAATAATGACTTGACGAATTTTGACTTCCTTCTTTTAAATCCCCGTAGAAGTTCAATTGTACATATTTTTATGAGAAAAATGGAAAAAAATATCAGTTAACCGAAACGCTTCCTCTATTAATAGTGAATACACACAATCCGGTTGCTAGAATGAAAACGCGATATGCCGGAAACGATACGTGTACGATAATGTGCACAAACCTAAACAATATGTGATGTTGGTCCAATAATACAGTTGAGGTTGGAACCTTTGTAGTAACTACAGCAAAATAAAGCACTAGTTTGCACCACAATGCACCAAAATGCAACCAATGCACCACAATGCACCAAAAGAAAATTTTTAACACTGGGCACTCCAGTCGTGTTAACGCGCCACATTCAGTTTTGAATGTGAAGGTGCGTACTCATTATCCGAACGAACGAACGAACGAATGGAAGTGCGGTATATTTAGACGGGGACCGAACGCATGCGGCCGATCGTTCGTTCGTTCGCTCGACCATCCGTTTCGAGTCGGTACATCAAAGGCGTTCGCCAACAAATGCCTCCGGTCTTCTCGTGCGGTTCTATCGTACGGTCCCCGTCCATACCACTAGCGAACATTCGTTCGTTCGTTCGGATAATGAATACGCACCTTGATTAAGGTGAGAATTTTTATTTATTTATAGCTTTCGGATTGGAGATGGTCCAGTCTCTGGACCAAACAAAGAAAGATGATTTTTCCGTGCTGGATTTTATTTGGAGCTTTGACCAGCGACGCGGGCAACTGTTGCATCAAAAGCGCAGGGTGTTGTTGAGTGAATTTATTACCGTCATATTTTCATTTCTTACTTCATTGGAACGTTTTAAAGGTGCGTATTCATTATCCGAACGAACGAACGAATGTTCGCTAGTGGTATGGACGGGGACCGCGCGTACGATAGAACCGCACGAGAAGACCAGACGCGAACGCCTTTGATGTACCGACTCGAAACGGATGGTCGAGCGAACGATAATAATGAATACGCACCTTAAGGTGCGTATTCATTATCCGAACGAACGAACGAATGAAAGTGCGGTATATTTAGACGGGGACCGAACGCATGCGGCCGTTCGTTCGCTCGACCATCCGTTTCGAGTCGGTACATCAAAGGCGTTCGCGTTCGGTCTTCTCGTGCGGTTCTATCGTACGCACGGTCCCCGTCCATACCACTAGCGAACATTCGTTCGTTCGTTCGTTCGGATAATGAATACGCACCTTTACGCTATCGAAAGATGCATACGACTTAGTTAGGAACTACTGGGAACAAGAAATAGGCATCTTCCCCGATAGCCAAGCAGCCTTAAAAGCGACCAAGTTGGTCAAAGAATGCCTAGAGAAGCTGAACAAATTAGGCAAAGAACATTTACAAAATTTTCCTACTGTGGGGCAAGCCCACCAAAAGATAAAAGGTAATGAAAAAGCAAACGATCTAGCTAGAACTGGATCAGAAGCGTTCTGCTTCCCATGTAATACGCTTAGCACGTTCAGTGTTTTAAAGCGGAACTCAAAAACCTGGAAGACTCCATCTGTAACCTGGAAACTTGAAGAAATTTCTCAGGACTTACGAACGAGAAAAATCAAAGATTTTCATTGATATGCCAAATCGCACAGTTCAGATCTTAAAACCAAATCGATAGTGATCTTTTCATACTACACATTCAGATTTTATAAAAGATAATTTCGCAGTCTATAGTCTAGTACAGTTCCCGCCCAATCTTTGGTTTGTGCGGTTAAAAATATGCAGCATGTTGAAATACAGTAATACCCCGGACTTACGCGATAGGTGGGACTGAGCGCTATCCGCGTAAGTCGAATTCGCGTAAGTCGGGGTACAATTTTGCATATAAAGACATACAAAGTATGTTTAATTGGGACTGGAGACTAAATAAAACAATAATTTAGGAAATAATTAGTATCTAATTCTAAATAATATGACAATACAATATACAAACTATATTAATAGAGTGTATAAACACAATCCGAAGTTATTTTGATGTAGAAGGTTTCATAAATTGTAACAAAGTCGTCTGACGAGTCAATGATTTTTTCTTCTCCCGTAATATCTCCTCGTAGCATCCTAGTAATTTTTTTATTCCATGTTTTGTAACAAAACTGCGCTCTTCATTGGAGTCTATGCTTTCCAAAATTGTTAACCCTTTTTCAATCGAACTGAGGGCTTCTGTCAAGTTTCCAACTGTCATTTGATCTTCTAATTGAACTGGATCCAAAGAATCATGATTATCAATTTCTTCCTCTTGTTCACGCATTGTTATGAGCTCATCAATTGTAAGCTCCTCATTGTGTGAATCCAACAGCTCTTGAACATCATCACTATCCACTTCTAAATTTATTTGTCTACCAAGTTCGACAACGTCTTTGATCACATTGCAAATTTCATCAGGCCCTGACACTAATTCCGCCTGAGTCATAGTGGAGAAAAAAAATGGACAGAGTTTTTTCCAGACGCCATTTAAAGTTTTTTGTGAAATTTCATTCCAAGATTCTCCAATGATTCTCACTGCTTCTAAAACGTTGAATTGTTTCCAAAATTCTTTAACAGAGAGCTCGTTGTTTTGTCTCATAGCTTCATGCAGATGTGCAAACGATCGTCTCGTGTAATAAGCTTTGAATGTTTTGATAACGCCCTGGTCCATCGGTTGAAGCAAGCTGGTTGTATTTGGTGGCAAAAATTCAACTTTCACACGTGGGTCGAAACTAGTTAAAGTAGCAGGAGGATGACCTGGCGCGTTGTCGATTAATAGCATCACTTTAAACGGGATTTGTTTAGACTGGCAATAACGTTCGACTTCAGGTATGAAGTGATGACCAAACCAGTCTTCAAAAAGGGAGGCCGTCACCCAAGCTTTACGATTCGACTTCCAAATCACGGGCAAACCAGCTTTAGATTTGTTTTTCAATGCTCTTGGATTTTCCGAGCGATAAACTAAGAGAGGTTTTAATTTAAAGTCACCAGCTGCATTCGCGCCAAGCATCACTGTCAATCGATCTTTGGCGGCCTTAAAACCTGGAAAAGTTTTCTCTTCACGCGCAATAAAAGTTCTTTTAGGCATCTTCTTCCAAAATAGGCCAGTTTCATCTACGTTGAATATGGTTTGGCTGGTATAGCCACCTTCATTTATCATAGCTTTGAGTTTCTCTGGATAGAGAGATGCTGCCTCTTTATCTGCACTTGCCGCCTCTCCACTTTCTGCAATGCTATGCCAGTTACAGCGACTTTTGAACCGGCTGAACCAACCGTTACTGGCTTTAAACGTTTCATCTTTAGCCATCTCCCCAGCTTCTTCTTTTAATTTCTCAAAAATTTGTTTAGCTTGAAAGCACACCGTGTTCTGATCAATAGGACAATTTTTCACACTTACTTGATTATCACACCATAATTTTAACAATGTTTCCATTTCAGCGATAATACCATGCCGTTTACGAATGATGCTTGAATTCAAAGACTGAGCATTTTTCACAGCTTCGAGAATTTTTTCTTTACTTTTCGTAATTGATCTGACTGTCGATTCCGGAAGTTCATACTTCTTCGCTAAATCACAAATTTTTATTTTTGCATCGTAGTCTTTAATAATGTTAAGTTTACGCTCCAAAGATAATGTTTTTCTCTTCTTGTTTAAAGCAAAAGAGTCGGTTCTACTTCGTTTGGATGCCATAGTACTTAGTAAATATCTCAGGTCGGCGCACAACGGACAAAAAAACACAAAATCGTAACTTATGTACCTACGCGCCGATTCCGCACTACACGTATGTGCTTGTTGTAAACTGAACGAATAATAATGCGGGCGGGGGGAGTCAGAAACAAACGCCGCCGCTTGACCTTGACTGCACGGCGTTCAAACAAAAAACCAATAGACGAGAAAATTAAATCGCGTAACTCCGAATTCGCGTAAGTCGAGGTAGCGTAAGCCGGGGTATTACTGTATCGCAGATCTCATCTCTTCGATGAGATCTTTATCGAAGCCGTGGTGCGACTTGGGCCGAATCGAAGGACTGTACAGTTCAAATCTTTCAGATATCGTTGCGTGTAGGGCCCTTTTAAAAATGATGTTCGGATTTTCACGGGGTTTATAACAGGACACTGTCATCAATGAACACCTCGTTCACACCTGTCATCAATGAACACCTCAGTAGAGCGAAACTAAGAAACAACGGTAAATGCAGATTCTGTGGGAAAAAGGAGGAAACTTCAGAACACCTTATCACCGGGTGCGCCTAAGCGACAAACACCCTTGCCATAAACTTTAGTACCTACCACTGATATTGGAGATGGAGAGAACTAATCTCTGTAAAACCGTCTCAGATACCGGTTTTTGTCAAAGCCCAGTCTTATTTAAATTTATTTAACCATTTTTGGAGAAAAAAATAAATCGATTTTAAATAAAAATGACTGAAATGATGTAAAGTCAATAAATTTTCCACATCTCTAGATGAGAAATTGCTACAAATTTTGCTACAAATTCCTACACAAGATGTAGTTATGTTGTGTTAGATAAACGGGATAGGCGCCATATAGGAAGAAGATGAGTATAGGAAGTATATTGTTTGCGATGTACACGCAAAAGAGACTGCGCAGAAGAAAACGGATTATAGTTATCTTTTTTAGTCTTACCTTGTCGAGCTGTCAAGTCTTGTGGATCATTCAAATATAATCCGTTTAGTCCTCTACCACAAGACTTCCACCACCATCCACCCTTTAACATCGAGGCACAATTTAGACTCGACCTGTCATTATCCCTGCAAACAAAACTATATTTTAGGATTCAATATTACATTCAAGCAGCCTGTAATTTTTACAATTGGATTTTGTATATCTAAATAACATCAAGCGCCAAATTGAAGTTTTGAGATATTGGAGGTTAAAATGTTAATGCTTTAGGAAAATAATGAGTGAGCGGATCTTCAAATTTTTGGATTGGGTGTTGTCAGACAGATCATCTTTTATCCCATGTCCAATATTATGAGTATAATAACGTCAGAAATGTGAGTTTGTAAGTATTTTTGGCTGATGGTTCCTTTTGAATAAATAGCCAATCAGAAGTTTTAATTTTGATTGGCTATTTGGCTGATTGGATGTGTCCGATGAACTATATCGACAACACATCCATAAAATTGGTAAAATGTAGAAGGATCCAAGCGACGATTTGAATAATATAAATGGAATTATTTCCCTGGTTCCTTTTATAGAAATATAGAATTTGTAATTTTCTAACATGTCATTCGGTTCATTGTCTAAAGAATATGGTATTCTAGTATAGGTAGCAGTTGGATGTTTTTAGAAAACATAAACTAAACTCTCTTCTGGTACCTTTAACTGAATTTTGTTAACCCTTAACAGGCGTGGTGAATTTTTGTAACGCTTATGGCGTGCTGGGGTCCCCAAGCACGCCATTGACTCCCCTGACGCGATGGACCCCAATTTTTTTTTCAGTTCAAAATACATGATGAAGAGATTTTATAAAAATCTTGTTATTTTAACACTGTTTACAATATATTCAAACTTGTAAAGAAACAATTTAATTAATTTTCAACAAATTAATAAGAACGGACACGCAAATAAAGTAAAACGCATTTTTTAGGAATTTTTGACAACAGAAATATAACTTGGCTAAGAAACCCATAGAAATTAAAAACATATATATTATATGATTTTACCGTATTATTAAAAGTACAAACTACTGAAATGTGAAGCTAAAGTAATAAACATAAATTATTATCAACAAAACTGCAAACCTTGAATGTGCATAACTTTTTCAAATACAGTTCATGCTAATATAGGATCTGCATTTGCCGCACATGGATCGTGCACATTTGATTCATGAGATTTTTGTTTTTTGTCATTTCTTCATTGACATATGGTTCCCATATACCACATCTCTTTCTTTTCTGGTATTGATTATTCAGTGTTCTCTCTTCTATAAGTAAGAGATTCAGAATCGGAGTTATGGTTACTCTTCGGAGAAAAATCAATGTCTCGATGGTCTTCATCTCACTTAAGCCTCTTTAAGTTCATCAAACCACTCAATTAATGCTTGTAATGTAACATTCTTGGCGTGGTGGTGCCACACAGACCCCAATGAAGCTTTAGCCCCCGCTGGTAGGAACAATACTTGATAAAATCAAGTATGTCTTTATCAGTTGCATATTGGTACCCTAACTTAAAGTTAAATGGCGCGGCGAGGCCTAATTAAACGTAAACATTTTACAGGTGTTTAAATAGTGCTTGGGGTCCACCACGCCAGTTGAGGGTTAATTTGTCGCTTGGTTCCTTTTACAGAAACATAGTCCAATTAACAAACAAAACCACGAAGTAATATCATTTTTACGATTCAAATAACTATTTACCTGTTATACGTGGAGAATGGGCTGTTATTACTGCCATACCACGGATCATTGAGCGAATCTCCCGCGTTGCCTTCGTAACCGTCGATCTCGAGCTTGTAGTACTCTCCTTCGGAGTAGATTTTGAAATGGGAATACTGGGCGTACCTGTACAGAAATAATTAATGTTAACACGGTCGGTAAAACAGAGTTTAATTGATTGGAAGGTGTCGATTTGAAGGAGTCAGTTCGCTGATTGTGACGGCGATATTAAGCAATTAAGAGTTATTCAACTCTGACCTTTACAATATAAATATTAATTGGAACAAGGAATGTGAACAAGAGGATTGATGCAAGCTATTGCATTTTTGTAGACTTTTTAAAAGCATTTTATAAATCCTAAAAGAATACCGCAAGTTAATTGGAGCTGAACTAATAGGACTTCAGAATTAAAACTTATTTTTAAAAGTAACATACAGTATGCTGTAGATATTTGGATGCGAGGGGTGTCTCACTCGGGTAAAAAATGTACACGTACTGCCAAAATATCCTTCCACTGCTAAACGACTGCCAATGACTATGAAGAAGACTGCCTATGACTGCCATGTAATTATTATAGGTGACTGCCATAAGACTGCCAATGACTGCCAGCGACTGCCAAGAAATTGTACAGGTAATTCCAATAGTGAGACACCCCTCGTTTGGATGCATGGGAAAAGTGTATTTTACGTGTTTCAGAATGCTTATTCTTGATAAAAGTATATAATAAGTTATCTAATTTTCGGGTTCTGCCTTAATACCACAGTTCTCCATATTTTGGTTGACATTTCGAATAAATCATGTAATAAACAACACGAAACAAAATAAATACACTTTCCCGACTTAACTACAGCCTCTGCTACAGCTTATAAACTAACACGTAGCGGTGCTGGAATGTTTCGACAATTTCTTATATATTTTGTGTTGTCAATCTTATTATGGTACTAATTTTATTTGATTAATGATTGATTGACATTCGGTCAATCAGTCATCCGTATCACTATCTGGATTGATCGAGGGTAATGAGTTTGACAAGTTCAACCCAAGTTTGACATGAATATTTCCGATATTTTAATTTTGCTATTCGGAGCAAAGATTTTTTTTATACCGGGTGCGTCTCAAAAGTGGCTCCTACCCCCTAAAACCCCTATAACTTTTTTTATTTTTTCAGATAAAAAACGGAATTTGGTATGTTAGTATATGACATAAATTAGGACTGATTGACGTATTCAATTGTTTTTGGCCACTTCCTGTTTCACCGGAAATGACTACAACTTTTGATTTCTAAATGGCACCCTTGGTAGATTTTTACTTTATTCGATACAAAATGACACTCTGACTAGGATGACATATCATATGTCAACTTTTGACATTTTCGCATACAGTAGATATATTTGAAATTGTAACATGCGGGTCATAACGACAATTTGACTCGAAATACCAAGTGTGTGATACCAAATTATTTATAAAAAAAAACCTTTTTTTTTCTAAATATGTTAATGAGCCACCCTTGTTCCATTTGAGAAAATTGACATATGATTAAAAAAACGATTTGGGCATCTTTTAACCGGCCAGGACAAGACACGAAAAACATTAAATGATCTATTTTTCCAAGGCTCCTAGTGTTTTTAACACAGCCGTGGCACCCTAAATTGAAATTTGAAAGACGATTTTTAAGCGAAAAAGTCAAAAGTTGACATATGATATGTCATTCTATTCAGAGTGTCATTTTCTATCGAATAAAGTAAAAAAAATACCGAGGGTACCATTTAAAAATCAAAAGTTGTAGTCATTTCCGGTGAAATAGGAGGTGACCAAAAACAATTGAATACGTCAGTCAATTCTAATTTATGTCATATACTGACATATCAAATCTTGTTTTTTTATCTGAAAAAATAAAAAAGTTCTAGGGGTGAGCCACTTTTGAGACGCACCCGGTATAGATTAATAATCTAATAAATGTATATAAAGTATTTCCAACTAGAAAGGTTTTTGAGTTTGTAATAAAGGAATTTTGTAATAAATTAAAAAAATGTAATCGTTTTGCAACATCCATATAAAAGACGTTTTTGTATATATTATTAAAAACTATACTCGTTTATTTACATTTACATCGAGTACTGGGTTACTACTTTTCAATTGCGTGTGAAGCTGGCTTAATTAGAATAAAACGTTCACTTTCAAATTGATTAAAAACTGCTTATGTTTTTAGTGCCTCTATTGAAAATCAAATATCTTGAAGTAGTACTTGTGTGTTACTACATGACCCTTTTTCGTAGGTACTTATTGAGAATACCAAAAAAATAAATTTTGTATAGTTTTTATTATGAAAAAATTTAGTTTATTTTTATATTAATTATGTTGATTCCACATTTAATGCTAGTACAAAGTCCATGTCTATGACAAATTATACCGGGTGAAAACTATATGAATCTTGAGTTCAAAATACAGGGTGACTCTTAAATGAGTGCAAATATTTTCTGGGGACCCCAGGAAAACGTCTAGGAGGTGTTATTCGCTAAAAAAAGATGTTGAAAATCGTGCATTTTCTTTTAAATTTTCCTGTATATTTTTCGAAAACTTTTTAGAACTGCCTATTCACCGCAAATTTTCCAACGGTATAATTTCTTAATCTATGATATTACCATAGTTACGGCTTTACTCTAAGGTTACGGCAATAAAAGGGATGCAAATACAGGAAAAAATCCGGTGGCTCTCAAAATTTAAAAAAAAATATGTTTTTTTTAATTTTCAAACTTTAATAACTAGGTTATTTTGGACCGAGTTTTGGACTTATCTGAAAAATGGTAAAGAGAAAATATGTTTTTTTTTATCGAAATCTACCAGCCCTGAAAATATTTGCACTTATTTAAGACTCACCCTGTATATGTTAGATATACAGGGTGGCCCATTAGTGCGAGAAAGTCGAATATCGTCGTCGTTATCGAAAAAAAATTAAGCAGATGTTGCATAGTTTGTAAAGGGGCATATCCTAAAAATATTTTGTTGTTTACAGGGTGCCAAAAAAGGTTATGATAAAGTTGTAAGTTTTTTTTAAGATTGCACTCCCTATTTTTCGGTAGATAACTGGATTCAGCATACAATTCTGCATATAGTACATTATTTTTATTTGAAACATTATGCGTTTTTGCCATTCTATTTCTTATTTACTAAAACTCTGATTAAAAACTATATATCCGAAAAGTGGTTAAAAACTGGAGTTAATTTAATTTTATTAATACTTAGCCATATTTTTCTAAACACCAAGAATAATAGAATAAACCCGCGAAATAATTTTTCTTTTAGATGCAGAATTAGATGCATTATTAATGAAGTAGTTAATTTTTATCAAAGCCACCTAATATGATCATTGTCTGGTTTGTTACCGTTGAAAACTCCATATATGTAATAGGATACAGCGAATATATGCACAACCGCTAAAATTTTAGGAACACTTTAAATAAAAAAAATGTTCATTTATGTCTGCATCTAACCGAAAAATAATATACAAGGTGTTGCGTTTAAAAAAAAATGAAATAAAGCCCTTTAAACATTGCGATGTTGTCGACACCATAAAAATTATCAAAAATTTTAAATACTTTGTTTCTCAAAAAACGGTTAACGTATAGAGTGTTTGATATCAAAATTTATAAAATTTTACGGATAATTTCAGTATGTAATAAAAAATGGGGATATCCATTTTAAAATAAGAAAGTTGCGGTCAACTTCCGTTATTTCCGGAAGTGCCGCCTTATTGAAAATTGTTTTAATCGATATATCTCGCTGTGAAACAATGATGTGCATGATTGTAGTCCTATAGAAACTTCTAATGCACGCTTAACCTGGGACACGCTGTCTATTTAAAAACTAATGAGATAAATTTTTGATTTTATTAAAATTCAAACGCAATTTATTATATCTACAGAATTATTTCAACCATTTAAATTGTATTTCATGTAACTAGATCGAGAATGTTAAATCATTCATATTATATTATTTTTCTGGTAGTCTTGATAGTTTCTGGTATTGATACATATTCAAATATCTACCTACATGTAAACTTATTATGAAAAGCGAACGCTCGAATAATAAATACATTTGTCTTTAAGATAAATCAAAGAATTTGCATCTAGAGATATTAATTTATTATATTTTCACATTATCCATTTATGTCGAGATTTAAGCAAAATAAAGAATACAGTAAGTCTATAATTTCATAGTTTTAAAATAACACGAGAGGTATTATATTCTTAATGATCTCTGGTTTGTTGGATTCGTCTCCGCCTCGAATATCAGAATAACTATTAAACTATCTGACAAATTCACGGAAAATACTTAAAATTAATTTTTAAATAAATTAGATTTGGAACATCGCCATCTTCCGCAATGGACGACTCACGTTACGCACACTTATAGTTTACTCGTAATAATTGCATGAGGTCCAAAATTAGTGACGTTTAGGCATTATACAGGGTGCTCCGAACTGTATTCCGGAAACTTCGGCAGCATATTCTGCAGATAAAAATAAGTAAAAAAGTTCGTATAAATGTATGTCCTAAAATGCTTAGTTTCGGATATACAGGGTTTGAAGTTTCATTTTTATTTCGATTTTTTCCAAATAATTTCTGCAATAACGTCAATACTTGGATAAAAATTGGTGTCTGGGAGTTTTTTGACATGAGAAATTTGAATTTGATGTCAATATGACTCCTACTAGTAGAGGGCGCCACCTACATATTTTTTAACTGGTTTGAAGAGTAATAACTTTTCGTCCGTACCTGTATAAAACTACTGAGTAAAAAATATACATTTACGACCCTTTTTAAGTAAAAAATGTCTCTTGGTAAAAATCGCTAGGAGTATTGGTTTTCGAGATATTTGGAATCGAATTTATCAATACCTGTCATCATTGACATAAATAAAATTAAACATGTTGACTAAATAGATATTAGAGTGAGATCATAAATTTGACAGTGTTTATGCCAAAAGTTCAACAGAAACTGTTTTATCATTTTTTTGCAGAAAAATTTATGATTAATTTAAAAAAATAAAAATTTCACAAATTTATTATTTCAGTGAAACAACTATCTAAAAGGGAAATTAAAATAAATTTGGTTACACATCATAATACGACCACCAACAAACTCCATAAGACGACGCATGGTGTCATTGATGACGTGCAACGAAAGTGTTTTAATTTCCCTTTACTTAACGTGTTTTTTTGCGTCAATAATGACATGTATTGATTCTTGCCATTCTAAATATCTCTATTCTAATCTAGCGATTTTTACAAAGAGATATTTTTTTACGTAAAAAGTCACATAGATGTATATTTCTTCCTCGGTAGTTTTATACAGGTACGGACAAAAAGTTACTACCCTTCAAAACTATTAAAACGCATGTAAGTGGCGCTCTCTACCAGTAGGAGTCATATTGACATCAAAATCAAATTTCTCATGTCAAAAAACTCCTATACACAAATTTTCATCCAAATATTGACGTTACTTCAGAAATTATTTGGAAAAAATCGAAATAAAAATGAAACTTCTACACCTTGTATATCTGAAACTAAGCATTTTAGGACATACATTTATACGAACTTTTTTAATTATTTTATCTGCAGAATATGCTGCCGAAGTTTATGGAATACAGTTCGGACCACCCTGTAGAATAGAAATTTTTGGAAAATAGTGGGAAAATAGTATGTATATTCAATCTAGAAAAATTATTGAAATATAAAGAAAATCCTTGAATCAAAATGTAAACAAAAATATAGAAACAAAGTGTCAAATCATTGATCCCAATCCTTCCATATCAATACGCCAGCCAGTCATCCGTACCATAGGATTAACTAAAAAATCTGACTTCACTTCACTGTTAGGCGGTAAGAAGTTAACTATTAACTAGGTCAGCTAATGATTTATTTTAAAAAATCTTCCATTACCTTTTGTTGCCCTCAAAATCTTCAAGTTCAACTCGCAATGCGTATTCTTCGTTATTCGTCAGCATATAAATATTTTCGTTGCCCAGCCAGAACTCCTTTGCTGGATCACCAAAACCGTTCTTGTAATCGTTCCAGTCTCTGTTGAAGTTTTCCCTGGGAATACCGTAATCATTACGTCTTTGGATCACCTGAAATAGTAAGGGAGTATGTCATTATAAAAGGGCTTTGAGAGTTGTTAGAAAAAAATGGAAAAATCTCGCAGATGATTACATCAATTTCTTGATAATATTTCAGTGTTATATTAAGCTTAATATATTATTTTTAATACCAAATTTTTTAAGAGGCTGAATATGCAAGGTAATTCCAATTCCACCCCCACCTAGGGTTGCCAAATTGTATTAGCTAAATTCCGGGTGAGCAAAAATAAGCGAGACATATCATAAAAAAAACGATATCAAAGACAGCTGGGGAATAACAATCGATGATAAATTTGGCCCTAGATGTCATTTACTTTTCCCGTACTTTATTGTTTAATTGCGCTTACTGCCACGCTTAAGAAGGTTGCAGTTTATCTATACTAATATATAAAATCGTGCTCTGACATGTGTGACTGCTCTGACAAAGTGACTGACATACTGATTAATCACGATCCTGCTCAAATCACTCAACGTAAGAAGCTCAATTTTGGCATACGGGTTGATTCTAGGGTGTAGAGATTCGATAAGAAGGGATTTTTCGAAATTCCAGTTTCAAGAGGGTGAAATCACCCCTCAAATATTACAATATTTGTTATTTAAAAAACGGTTAGTCTTTCGGGAAACGCTTGGACAAGCATAATTTATTTGTTTTTTTTTACATATTTTAAATTTTTTAAAAAAAATCATACTGGGTGTTCCAAAAAGTTGGGTAATTTCTTAATCACGATTCTGCTTAAACTGCTTGACGTAAAAAGCTTATTTTTGGCAAACGGATTTTTCGAAAGTCAAATTCCAACGAGATGAAACTACCCCTCAAATATTACCAAGTTATATAATAATATCGCCATATTGTTTTTTCTCATGCTGACATAAATGTGAAAAAATTTTATCCAGTTTGTATAATTATTTAATGGAAATGTTATGTTATTAATTGTTAATGGAAATTCTTGCTTTGCTTTATCATCACCATTACAAATGATTAATTCGACGCGTACGAAGTCGCTGGTACACGCTAGTTTAACTATAAAACTATTGCATTGCTGCTTTAATTTATAAATTTTTACATTTTATTGCCTATATTTGACATCGTGAAGTCAAATTTTGACACTTGGACCCTTTGGTAATAATATTTTGCAATAATTGGATGATATTCCGGAAGGTCACAACATAATAAAGTAGTTTACATTTTCTGAACCATTCCTGTTTGCTAAGCCCGAGTAAACCTGTGCTATTCGACCTTAATTGTTTACAAGTTATTGATGAAATAATCCTCGATAAGTCAATTATTTTATAAACGATTCTGAAAAACGTCTTAATTATAAAGCAATATGCAATGTTGTGATAGTATCAGTTATATAATAACATGCTGCAAAGTAAAATATGATGTAAATACTGTGAACTGAAGAGGGGCGAAAGTAGATCACTAGTTGCATTCTATGTAATGTTACTGAAAATACAACAATTTAATAAAATAAGAGTGATGTTAAAATTGCAATTTTAATTTGATCTAAAATATCAACTTTAATTAATCTTAACTACGGAAAGGATTGGTTCTTGAAAAATATCGGTATGAAATAAAATAGTTTGATAAAATAGTAGAAATTTCAACTATTGACGTTTTTTTAATTTTAATATTCTTATTAGAGAGTTTATAGTGCTTATTTCATTTTAGATTCACCTTTGGCGTCAATCAATGGAATTTAATGTTGAAAAATACTTTGTAAACCTCTTTTAAAGTCGTCAGACAGTTCAGTTGTTTGAAGAGAGTCACAAAAGAGAGAGATCAAATAACATAATAACCTAATACATAATTGACAAACGAACCAGAAAATAAACCGTTTTCTGTAATGTTAAAAATTTCAAGCATAACATAGAAACTGAACTAGATTATACTGAAGAAACCCAGTGATGTGTGAAGTACCGTTTGATCGAAAAAAAACGGCGTCAAAGACGGTTGGGGAATGACAATCGATGATAATTTTGGCGAGGTTAATAATCTAGACGTCATTTAATAAAAAAAATCATTCACGTCGTTAACACAAATTATACAAATATTTAAAAAGGATAGAACGTTTCCAGACACACAAATCTATTTCCAAAAAGAAATAATTTTCTTCGAATTTTAAAACTACACCACTTATGAAAAACTAGCGTGTACCAGCGACTTCGTTCGCGTCGAATTAATCATTTGTAATGGTGATGATAAAGCAAAGCAAGAATTTCCATTAACAATTAATAACATAACATTTCCATTAAATAATTATACAAACTGGATAAAATTTTCTCACATTTATGTCAGCATGAGAAAAAACAATATGGCGATATTATTATATAACTTGGTAATATTTGAGGGGTAGTTTCATCTCGTTGAAATTTGACTTTCGAAAAATCCATTTGCCAAAAATAAGCTTTATACGTCAAGCAGTTTAAGCAGAATCGTGATTAAGAAATTACCCAACTTTTTGGAACACCCAGTATGATTTTTTTTAAAAATTTCAAAATATGTAAAAAAACCAAATATATTATGCTTGTCCAAGCGTTTCCCGAAAGACTAACCGTTTTTTAAATAACAAATATTGTAATATTTGAGGGGCGTTTTCACCCTCTTGGAATTTGAGATTCGAGAAACCCCTCCTTATCGAACCTCTACACCCCATAGTCAATCCGTTTGCCAAAAATCAGCTTTAAACGTCAAGCAGTTTAAGCAGAATCGTGATTACCTAATGGTCATATTTTATGAATCCCCATGTATAAATTTTTAAAAAATCTTAAAATATGTAAAACAACGAAATAAAATATACGTGTTTTCTGAAAAACTCACCGGTTTTTAAATAAAAAATATTCTAATATTTGAGGGGTGGTTTCGCCCCCCTAGAATTCGAGTTTCTAAAAATCCCTTCTTATCGAACCTCTACACCCTAAAGTCAATCCGTTTTCCAAAAATCAGCTTTTTACGTCAAGCACTTTAAGCAGGATCGTGATTAATCAATGACAAGATTTTTCGAAACACCCTGTATACATTTTTAAAAAATCTTAAAATATGTAAAAAAAACAAAATAAAATATACGTGTTTAAGAGTTTTTTCGGAAAGTTGACCGTTTTTTAAATAAAAAATATTTAATATTTGAGGGGGGATTTCACCCTCTTGGAACTGGAATTTCGAAAAATCCCTTCTTATCGAATTTCTACACCCTAGAATCAACCCGCATGCCAAAATTGAGCTTCTTACGTTTAGTGGTTTGTGCAGGATCGTGATTAATCAGTATGTCAGTCACTTAAGGATTTTATATATTAGTATGTATATCAATTTTATAAAACAGAGATCTAATAAAAAAGCTATATAGAATTATATCAACTTTAATTTGTAAACTCAGTTTTTTATAAACTTTAGTATTTGGCATATTATACTGGGTTAATCGAGGGGATGTTTTTTAATCTGCACTTTAAAACACCCTGTGCAATAATTTCGTGTGCAAATTTTCCTAAAATATAATTTTGCGGTCAGAACAATGTCTCTTGAGCATTTTGTTTTTTGGATCATGTCAATACATGCCTTAGTTAATTTTAAGAGCAAAATGAACTTGCCACCAACAATTTGAATTTTTTTCAATTATCACGTCTTTTTGAAGTTATTTTTAAATATGATAAGGCGGCTTTGGTGATTAACTATATACTATACTATGAACTGTCTATCATGTTTGACGATTGGGAAACGCTTCAAAAGCGAATATCACCAATGAAAATAAAGCTGTTGAGGTGAATCCAAAAACAAACTATCGAGAAAAGACGTACCTAGATGATAAAGTGATTTTTAAATGACTTGCTTTGTTTACATATTCCACAGGGTGGTTCAAACCTTCACCAAAATATCAACATTTTGTTATCGTATAATTGACAATTGACAGCTAAAAAGTCAGATAATTTAGCTACAAATTTCTTAAAATATCATGAAAATCGGCCCACTAGAACAAAATATATTAAACATTAATAAAGTACATCAAAATTTAAAGGTGTTGTAATATTATGAATTATATATGAATATAGAATGCATGGCAGCTTGACACATCGAATTCTTTTATGAAAAAAATTACAAATTTTGGAGAATTTAACACTACTTGGACTCTTTGGGAACACCACGCTTCAATTACTATCAATACATCATTGATCGGAAAAAAAATTTGATAAATGCTGTACTATTATGAATTATAAATAGTTATTTAAATATAAAAATATGGTTAAACACTTGCTTCTCACATTTATTTTTTATGTTGTATGTTTTTAATTTAAAAATTATTTAAATTCTCTTTATAATTTACTTTTGAAATTATTTAGTTCATTTGGTTCCAGTTTTTATGTCTTGGCGTTCCTGCAATAAACTAAAAACATAACTAGACCAAAATTGATTAATTTGTGTCATAATCTGACACTTATTTTCAATAATACCTTGCGACATTTAGTAAAATGGACCATTAAATTTAACATCTTTGTAAATCACCAGTTTATTTTTTGTGTTCTTCAAACCAAATTAATTTTATTATATTGTTTAAATAATAAATATCTGCCAGGTTTTTATTAGCTTCTACTTAATATTTTTGGTTTCATTGCAAAACGTCAATATCTTTGGAAACCTTTGATATCATTTTAAACTAAATTAATTTTATTGTTGTTTAAACAGTTAACAACTGACAAGTTTTTGTTAATATTTATTTAATGTTTTGACATAATTATAAAAATCAATATTCTTATGATTTTTCTATGACTTTTGCGAAAGGAAATATTATGTAGATATTATTTAATAGTATAATAGTTTTTAACTGCAGAAACTAATTTTAATATTTAGATCTAAATCAATTTAGGAAGAATAATACCACAGGGAGAACTAGATAAGTAAAATTTCTTTTTATATTTTTTTTAATTAATTCTGGCCAAATGTTTTAAGCAAGTGTAGAAAAAATATCTCTAATCATCTTTTTATGTCATGTATCCATTGTTCCAAATAGATATTCAGTCAAAAGATATACTCAAATATATTTTCATAATTATGGTAATAAATTATTCATTTATACTTACAATCCATCCACCATCGGCTATTTCTTGTTCGCAAAAGACTTTGAGGAACCAGAATGTCGTACCTCGAATTTGCAAGTAATAAATACCAGAATTTCTCATTCCTGCTGTGTGTAAGTCTGCACAAGAATAACCCTAAAAAAAGAAAATAAAAAATGAAATCTTGTTGAAGTTATAAAGATCTGCTAATTGATCATATACTTTCATAATATATGGGCTGTCAAAAAAATAGTGTATCTAACTTTGGTGGGCGATTCTACAGATAAAAATAAAACAAAAAGTTCCTATGAACAATGAACATATGCCCTAAAATGCTTTTGAAGAAGGTAATAAAAATAACACATTTTTTATTTTCAAAAACATTGGTAAACCCGTTTTCTTGAAATTTGGTACTCTTACACACATTTTAATGCCAAAGCGAATGACGAAAGTCTAAAATTCCGTAACAGCCCTGAAAAGGTACTTTCCATTAGGGTAGAGTGTACTACTGGTGACACCTTTTTTGTCCTAATAGATGCAGCAATTTCAATTTTAACTGCATAAAAAGCTAGGACTTTTCTACGTAAAAAAGTTGTTCTTCGTTTAGTTCGATAAGGTGAACGGTTTTCAACATATTTATTGCCTTTACCTAAAGGTTACGATGCGTCGATTTTTGTATTAGAAGAATATTAGCGAAATCATAATATTAAGTTACATATATAATAATTTCTTCAGATTTCATAATTTCCTGGTGACAACTGATTTTTTAGGGACACCCTGTAGAACTTTATATATTTTAGTATGTCCCCAAATTGTCTTTACAAGAGGAATTAGGAATATTTTTTTATTATTGACATTTTGAGAAAAATGCATTCTCCATAAAAAACTTGTTTGTTCTAAAATACACACACCGGAAAAATCTAGGGATATCATTTTATTAAAGTTAAAAATAAATGTTTTGAATAAACAACCACATATTTGTAGGCCGATTCTTTCTACTTCGATTGAAACGAAGTAGTCACTCTAGTTATTTCTAAATTTGGGATATTTGCAGAAGTGTTTGTGCATTTTTTGTCAAATGTATAAAAAGCACCTAGCATCAATTGTTCGAATTTAACCTGTACTGGCTATGTTTTTATGATAACTGGCCAGAATTCATTCAAATAACTCTGTTTAGTATTAAACGACATTATGGAGCGTAGACATCTTAACAGAGACGAAATGCTAAGGGCCATGGGTATGTTCGAAGCTGGAATGCGCCAAATCGACGTAGCTAGAGCATTAAATACAACGCAAAGTGTAATATCGCGATTAAGTGCACGCTACCTTGAAAGTGGTGATGTTGCTGAACGGCACACAGGGCGACATCGCATTACTACCCCTCAGCAAGATCATTTTTTACAATTAAATGCTCGACGCCGACCGACTCTTACAGCACCAGAGCTTAGTTTAATTCTCCAGGAAACACATAATGTAACCGTTAGTCCTGACACTATTCGCAATAGATTAAAAGAGGTCAACTTAAGAAGCAGACGCCCTTGGAGAGCTCAACCCTTAACGAGAGGAAATCTTAGGGTATGGAGAGAACGGGGAAATCTTATTCGGTTGGATCATGTTCAGGAACTGCACCCTTATCAAGGTGGAACAGTTATGGTCTGGGGAGGAGTCCAGTTAGGTTTCTAACAGGAATCACATATCGTGATTTAATTCTTGAGCCTGTCGTGTTATCATATGCCAATGATTTTGGGAGAAACTTCATTCTCATGCATGACAATGCACGGCCTCATACAGCCAGAGTGGTAAGTGAGTTTATCAATGCTCATCAATTAAACATCTTACCCTGGTCGGCACAATCTCCTGACCTCAACCCCATCGAGCACGTATGGGACGCGGTCCAAAGAAGAATTTTGAGAATGGGTATGCCTCGTGAAACTCGTAGGGATCTGGTTCGGGCCGTGAATGCAGCGTGGCAGGCTGTACCTCAACAAGAGATCGACAACATGATCAGGAGCATGGAGAGACGATGTAGGGCTGTAATGAACAGTAGAGGAGGCTAGACCCTTTATTAAGTAAAAATGGTTTTATCTTTTTTTTAATTCACTAATTCACAGTTTAGAATTAAAAAAAATGTGTGAATTTTTTTGAGTTCAATAAAAATCAAGGTAAATTTGAAAAATTCGGTAAATTTCGCATTTTTATTTCCAATACGTCCTGTAAACTCTTTGTTTATTTTGTTGTTCACCATCAGAAATGCAAATAATAAAATTACTTACGATGGCTGGACAAAATTGTAATATCCCTAGACTTTTCCGGTGTGTGTAGTTAATCCCGTTTATACTTGTCAAAATTTCCATACCGTTTTAGAGAAAATAAAAAAAAAACATGAAAATATCCATAAATTTTTGGTCTTAAAAAAAACAAAACGCGTTTCTATGGTAATATAGTTTCGATTTCATTCCTTGATAGATTGTTAGTGATAGAATTTTAACTAACGTTATATTTTTTATTGTCTTAAAATGTTAAAGAAGCACAAAATTTATTTAGTTCAATGTTAGGGAAAGAGTAATAATAAATAGTTATTGGAAAGTATCATACTTTAAGAACAGCAAAAATTTGACGTTCATCAAAATTAATAATAACCATTTATCAAAAAATCATAGATAAATGCAACAAGTTTAGATTGGAAAGCCCGTATAAATTTTGGATCGCGAAATTATTTTGGGTCGCGACCGTTATACGCGATCTGGCGCTGCTATAGCGGTCGCTAAGAACAACGGCAAACAAAAACAGAAATAATTTTCTCTTGTCAAAGTCAGAATCTTCAAAAATCATAATAATGTTTCAAAATCTAAACCGCTCTCATTAAAGAAATCCCGAAAAGAGTTTATAGCGTCCATTTTCAAAGTAATTATTGCTATCTTGTGAGTTTAATTCAAGTTTTATTTACTCCAACCGGTGATAATTGTGAAAAAGTGGCATTAAAAACTTAAAAAGCTGTGCTGTGAACTGTGAACTGCAAAAACCATCGTGGATCGTGGCATAACGTCGGTTTCCAATGTTTCATAGGTATTTCATACATGCGTCCTTATATAAAATAAAGTTTCTTGTATGCAACACACTGTATTTTATTTATAAAATTAAACGAAAATAATAACTGATAATAATAAATTTCAATAAACAATATTTGGCGATATAATTCCGGAAAAAGCCGAACCGCTCCGAAATTTTCAAAAGTTTTGGGTCGCGACCGTTGCAAGAATAGCGCCAAATAGTGTTTACATTGTCCTTATGGGCACTTTCCAATCTAAACTTGTTTCATTTATCTATGCAAAAAATGAAATCGAAATTATATTACCATAGAAACGCGTTTTAATTTTTAGAACTTTTTTAGGAAAATTAAGCATATTTTCATGCTTTTTTTAATTTTCTCTTAAACGGTATAGAAATTTGGAAAAGTATAAACGGGATAAACAATTTTAGAACAAGCAAAATTTTTATGAAGAATGTATTTTTCTAAAAATGTCAATAATGAAAAAGTGTTTCCTCGTGTAAAGAAAATCTGAGGACATACTGTATACTGGATATTAATCAATTTTAATATCCTGTGAAATATAATTTTAATATGCTGTTACTTATTAGTTGTTTTATTGTTATTAGTTATTTTATATGGCATAAATATTCAAGAAGAAATTGAACTGGCACGTACATATATAGTTGTTTAATTAATTTACTTCATGTATTGATGGCCTTTTTAAGTTACCTACAGGAATTACTTAAAACTAAAACTTGTTTTCACTTACTAGTATACGGATTATATTCAGTAATGATAAATGGAAATTATTGGCATAATGTCATGAAATTAAATAATGACTTAATAGACATGAAACAAAAATTATAAATAATGGAATTTTTAACATTTTTTTTTAATTATGAGAGTGCACTAATATGCCCTTTATATTTTCAAGGATAATTCCTTGAAAATTCCTTGGAAGAGTTAGCTAATTAAAGAGCGTATTAAGCAGCTCGATAAATATTTTAAAGCATGACATCTTTTCATAGACTTAAAATATTTAACTTTTACATATTATATAAATTTTTCAACTTTTTATTTAGAAGTTATCATTATCATCATCATCATTAACCAGCCTGAAGTGTCCACTGCTGGACGTAGGCCTCCCTTAAATCTTTCCGCGCTTCTCGATCCTGTGCCACTTGGATCCAGTTTCCTCTAAATCTCTTTAAGCCATTTGACCATCTTGTCGGAGGTCTGCCTCTGCTTCTGACAGCATCCTGTCGCCATTCTAGTATTAGCTTGGTCCATCTATCGTCCGTTCTTCTGGCAATATACCCAGCCCAGTTCCATTTCAGTTTTTAAGCAGATATATAGCATCTGTTATTCGTGTACGCTATTTTATAACTTACTGATTTGCATATTTTTTCTCTTAAAATATACCAAGCATTGCTCTTTCCATAACTACACGGATTTTTTTATGGACTTTTCTGTCAGCGTAAGTGTCTCCGCGCCTGCGCGATATGTAAGTACTGGCATAACGCACTGATGGAACACCTTCCTCTTTAAGCACATTGATAGATCTGATTTTAACACATATCTTAGTTTGCCGAATGCTGCCCATGTTAGTCCTATTCTTCTTTGTATCTCATGTGTCTGATTATTGCGACCAATTGTTATTTCGTGCCCCAGATATTTATATGAATATACTCGTTCTATAATTGCTCCGTCCACCGAGACATTTCCACTAATAACAAGATTGGTCATTAGTTTTATTTTTGAAAATGTATGCGTAGACCAGTTTGATCTGACGCCCGTTTCTAGTGTTTCTAGCATATTTTGTGCTTCATGTATTTTGTCTGTAACCAGCACTACAAAGTCTACAGGTACTATTAAGTCATAGGCAAAACAGCGTACTATTAAGTCAGGTTATTGAGCATTTCGCCGTTAATATTAATACCCGTTTCCTCCCAGTTTAGTCTTTTGAACATATATTCTATATATGTTCAAAAGTTAGTGCTATGAACAATTTGGGGGAAATGGTATCGCCTTGTCATACCCCTCTTTTAATAGAGAATTTGTTTGTGTTTTCGTAGACGACAAATATTAAAATGACGGGTTTATTATACTCAACACATTTTTCTAT